AGGAATATGTCTTCCCGCAAAGGCATTCTTGAGTTTGAGACGTCCTCGTGTCCGATCTCTTGTGGAAAAATAGAACCAATCCACTCTTACTGGAAGTGATGATTCCATTCTTGACCGACCGCTGTCCATTACTTCTGCTCTTATGTGATGATCTTTTGTACTGCGTAGCTCGCAAATTCACTGCCTGGAGAGCTTCTGCTTCAGCAAGAAACTCCGTATCATCGTAAGCTACATGGGTGCGCTTGTGGCGCCGTGTCTGCCCTATGACCAAGGATTTCCCAGCTTCTGGTTAGCAGGGGATGTGTAGTGCTCAGCGCTTAGAATTTAATTAGAGTAATATAATATAGCAGTAACCTAATATTAATCTAGTAGTAATGTAATAACAATATAGTAATAAAACAGAAATAATTACTTCAGCTTTGAGACTAGATGAGGACTGCACTAGCACTCTGGGGATCCATTGGATTCCTTGCTAAGCAGAGGCAATTTTCCGGGGTTCAGGGTTCCATTGCCGGTTGGAGGGATGATACCAGAACTCAGCAGTAGTAGGTCGCGGTGCAATCACTGCGAGCAATTTACTGTCATAGAAACCCTGTAAGTGAACCACTATAGAATCCCAGCTTCCATTTCATCCTTCGTTGTCTTTCTCACTTGATTCTCCATCATAGTAGTTCCGATGTTCTTTTCCGTATTCTCTGTTGATAGTAGCTCCTACACCCTAAACCCTAAACCCATATGTAAGCGCAGCCGGCGCAGCCACTAGATGCATCTCTGAAGCTCTCATCCACTATGAACATCTGGAGGTTTCCATAAGCAGGGAGCCCCCACATAGACCCCAACATACTGCGTATAATCCTTGTCGAAAGAACAAACTATATACTGTATTTTGTTGAAACGCTAATCCCCATAATGCACTATATAATCCCCATAATACACCATATAATCGTAGTTCCCATTCCATGTTCCATTCTATTTTCCATGTTACTTTCCCCATTATTTTCCATGTGATTCTCCATTGTCGGGGTAATTTCCCGAAAACGGGACCCCTGATTGTTGGAAACTCGGACTTGTGTCACAGGATGGTGAAACTGGCCGAGTTTGGGCCCACAGTAGAGCAGCAATAAAAGGATCCTGAAACAGGATACTTCACACAACCCTAAACCCTAAACCCAACCCCTGAACCCTAAACCCTGTTTCGTGGAACTTGTCTCGGCCTCTACATCTCCAGTCCCATCAGATTCCTGATGGAAATCGGAATGACATGTCACACGTTTATGTGATCAGCTGCCCCCTGCTCAGGCTTTTGATGACAAGGCCTTGGTGCAAATGGCTGCTTCGGGTTTAGGGTTTACAAGGAGGGGACCACTAGCTATAAGTTGGTTTATAAGTTAGGACAACTATAACTATAAGTTCCATAAATAGTAGCTGTAGGACTTCACAGTATAGGTATGTAACTAGGGGGCTTCTCCTTGTAAGGTTTGGGTCACAGGGTCTCTGGGGGCTCTCAAATCAACGCTGTCGTGTGCGGGACACTATCAGAAGGCCATGTCGTAGCGGTACCCCACAGCAAGGGACATTTTGAGATTGCACGGAGATTATAACGGTGCTCGGTGCTCCTCAGAGGATTACATGGGGACTCCTTCCAACAGCTCTCCTTTGGGAGTGCTCCAAAAGAAAGGGCCCCTAGAGAAAACTATACATCGGGATTATAAGGGGGGTTTAGGGTGTAGGGTTTAGGGTTTAGGGCATCCTGAGGGAATCATACATTGATTATTCCTTGGAACATCTCTCATTTGTTGCCAGCTTGGAAGAATAAGGCGCAGGCCATCTTCTGTCTCCAATAAGCCTCAGCGCGCAGCGTACATAACTCACATATTAGTGAGGGTTATATAGGGCTTGTATCGGGAACAGGTCAAGGGAGAGTGAAATTGTCCCTGGGATTCTAGATAGATACTAGGATATCTAATGGGAAAGAAAATCGAAACTACTGTAGTATATTGGGGTTATGTTGAGATAACGAAAAAGAAAATGGAAACTACTATAGGGCTTGGGGTTGAATTAGTGAGGGGATTCTCAAGGCCCGCCAGGCAGAAGGGACTTTCTCAACAGTTTAGGTTTCACGGAGCACCCTTCAGGACACAACAGCATGCATGCTTCACGGAGCTAACTGTTTTTTACCACAAGCTTGTTGAATACAAGCTTGCCACAATCCATTTCATGCTTTCCTGCATGTCTGCAGGAAAGGTACACTCAGGACATGATTCTTATCGAAGACTGGGGCTGTGTTGTAAATCGAAGCGGTTGCTGGTAGCTAACCCACGCCTACTTTCAGCCCTTAACCATCCATCTCTTATTACCCAAGGGCTCCAATGCAGTTCCTTTTTTGGTCTCTGACGGTTTTTGTTAAGGGATTATAATGTATTGGCCAAAAAGGAACCACATAGAAGGTCTGGGTAACAAGAAACCTTTAGGCAATAGAGCCTGAAGCTCCAAAGCCCCAAGCCCTGTAGCCGACAAAGTCTCAACCCCAGCCCTAGCAACCCCAAACCTTGAACCCCAAAACCCAAAGTCCTAAACCCCCCAACCCTAAACCTTAAACCCCAAACCCTAAACCCTAAACCTCAAACCCTAAACCCAAATCCCTATGTACCTACCTGACAACTCGTAGCAGAACGAAGCTGAGTGGCCTGAG